GCTTACCAGTACATATTATCTGGTTAGAATGCATCTTACCCGAGCAATCTTTGTGAAGTAAACACAAAGTGTTAGCAAAAGTTGACGATTGTTATACATAAATACAAACACAAATTGAAGATTGCTTCTTTAAACTTTTTATAAAAAATTTAATAGTTTAATATGCTAATGACTATCAGCTGTCTATACTTAATTATAATATTTTGATTAGTTGTCTGTTTCATTTGAAATAGTTGAACGGTATAATTTTAATTAATTAAGTTTGTCTTAAATTGACTGTTAGTTCAAATTTATGTGCGTTTACATTATATAATTGGCTTGCAATTTTTATGAAATTGAATATCTTTGGATAAAAAATTAGCAATTTTCGAAGAAGTTTGAAATAGATTCATTTTCTAACATGTATTTACTTCACAAAGATATCATCGCCTTTAGTGAATTCTCATATTAGCTGCTATCTCGTAATTGCGGATGATCTACAGAATTTTTATCTGCAAAGTTCAATTGTTTGAAATCCGCATCCGCACATTTCGATGAGAATATTCACGGTAATTTGAAAAACGGTTAACATTAGGTCAGAAATAACAAATAAAAAATTTATTCTCGGTATTCTTGGTTAACAAAATTATGCCACCCATCAATTACCAATAACAATAACGACCAGTGGCGTTACAAGGGGGGGGGGGGTCCACAGGTGCCCGGGCACCCACTCCATTGAGTTGGACACCCAGTCAATTCCAGTCGATTCAGATAATAACCCAACTTGAAAGTTCGCTTCAAGTAGTTCAAGATGAGCAGCCGAACTCGATCTTTTTAAGTACAACAAATTCGATTATGTATGATGGGAGCACCCAGTCAAACTATAACGTTGTTGCGCCCCTGATAACGACCATATAAACAAACAAAAGCATCCAATATAAAATGCTTCAGGTATTTGAAAATCAATTATTTTCTTAAAAGGTATGAAAGAAAAAGTATTAAATAACACTAATAACTCTACTAAATATTTTCGGAAAAAAAATCCGCATCTACATCCGCATCCGTAAGATTATTTTCGTTAAAGTTCGCACCCTAATCCGCATGCGTTAAAGTACATCCGTTACAATCCTGATTGAAATGCATAATGAACATTTTTGCTTATTAATTTTAACAAATTTTGAACTTACTTTTTCTGGATAATGTTTAAGGGTTATAATTGTTGAATAAATGAACATTATCCAGGCTAAGATTTTCAAAAAAATCAAGCCGTATCCTGCTGGAGATTCATACAAATACAGTACTTCTCCCGGATCAAAAACCTGAAATATTGCATGCATTATTTGTAAAAAGAAATGAAATAAATTAAAGTAGTAAAATATGTGTGCTCGAACCTTTTCCTGATAAACAAATAGGCAAATGTATGTCACCGAATAAATGCACATAAATATCGTAACCTTTACACCCGATTTAACGGATAATCGTCCCCTTGTCACCGTATACCCCTTTGCCAATAATATTAACACCAAGAGGAAACATGTTTCAGAACAAGCCATCAGTATTTCTCCTATAATTGTAGACATAAAAAAAATTGTCACTAAAATATATTATATCTATAATTAAAGACATTGTTAATTATTACAACACGGAGAAAACTAAATTTTTTTGGCAAAACAAAAATTACAATTTTCGATTGTAAACGACTGAATTTATCCAATGAAATAGTAGAATTTATTAGATAAGTTGTAATGATCTCAATTTTGACATGTTTTTTTAAAAATATATTTCAAGTTTCTTAATTATTACAATTTAGTGTTTGTAATATCAACTAAAATACCTAGTAAATTTATTTCTGCTGGGATTTTATTTTTACAAATTGTAATTTTTATTATTTTCGCTTATGAAGCAACTGGCTAGTTGGATAAATTGTAAATATTGCTTTAATATTTAGGTAAACTTTCGTTTTTCGTTTTCTCCGTGAATATAAACAGTCCTAAATACTATCGCTTATATTCAAACATTAAATTTCTTTGTTTTTAATAAATAAAAATGTAAAAGTTAATCTGTCATCAGTTAGTTAGTTAGTTAGTTTACCCTTTTGTTGTTGAATATGTCCAAAAATGAAGCAGTTGTGTCCATAAGTAGTTATTGTTGAATATGCTAGTTCGACAACTGAATGCTCTTAAATAGCTACTCATTTTATCATTTTCCAATAAAAAAAATTGTAGTTCATATAATATGGTTCAATATGGCAAAAATGGGTCAATTTTAAATGATGATATCTCGGTAACCGCTGGAGTCGAAAAAAATAGCAAAAAATGTGTTTTTACATATGAACATTCTTTTCATTTGAATTTGATATGTACCTAAAATGTCTTTTAAAAATGTTATGGACGAACTACTGAAAAAAAAAGAAAACGTGACATTATTTAAATTTTTATCTTTTTTTTTAAGTGTTTTTGATACTAATAATCATGATCATAAGGTCGTCAGTCCAAAAACTGGTTGACAAGCACCTCCACTCCTTCCTATCCTGAGCTAATCTTCGCATTTCTCTAAAATTAGAACATGCCACATCCTTAACTATTTCCGAACGGTAATCTAATCTAGGTCTACCTCTACTCCTCCTAACTCCTGTTGCTGCCTCTAATATGTCTCTGATTAGCCATTCATGCCTAAAAAGTGTCCTACCAACCTATCTCGCCTATTTTTTATTGACTTCCATAGAGTCCTCTATTCTCCTAGTCTTTCTAATACCTCTTCGTTTCCAACCTACTCCATCCATGGTATCCTCATCATTCGCCTGTAATATTACATTTGGAACGCTTCTAACTTTTTCTTTTCCGCAATGCCCACCACCTTTAACTATCCTTTTCGAATTTCTAAACTAATCGCTCACGAGCATAGAAGTGACTTCTTTTTATTCAAGGCGATTCGACCCTGTGTTATCCTCTGCTTTATATCCTTACTACTAATTCCGTCCTGACTTATCTGACTTTCTAGATACCTAAAATCAGCCAATTCTTCTAATCTTTCGTTTCCTATCTTTATTCGCTCTGCCCTACTTTTTCTTCCCTTGCTTACCAGTACTTTTGTTTTACTTTTATTTAATAATAATTTAATACCAAAAAACTAAAAAATGCGCATTTTCTATTGGATCTCAAGATTTTGTTATTTTTAGTTGTCGAACTAACATATTCAACAATAACAACATGTGGATACAGGTGTTCCTTACTAAAACACCTAATCGATAGCTTATTAGTTAATTTTCTGAAAGAAAAGATCGGGTTTCTCGCTTAACGCACCATTGAAGTCTCTGGCGTTATTGCTTAATAAATCATAAAATAAAGCTTCTAGAGGAAAATATTTTAGATAAATGTTATTGTAGATCAAACATAACATCCGTTAACGTGAACCAATCGATAATAGGTATGTCCGTTCACGCCCTATCAAACGTTTACTATAGATTATTTGCAAAGAAGTAATTTACTCATAATTGAAAGTAAGTAAGTGGTATAACAATTAATAAAAATCATATAATATTTTTATGTTTATTTTAAAAGCAACGGTAACTTACCAAATGTTTTGAGTTTGGGAGAACCGAGGCCATTAAAAGCAAACTTCATGTAAGCCAAAGTTTTAAAAACAACCCCGAAGAATTGAATGATTACGGAAGAGGTGAACAACTTATATGTCGAATGAAGTAATTGACGCGCTTTCAGTTCTATTGTACAAACTATTACAGCGAGTAGTAAAAAACTGTAGGCTACTGAATACGCTAGAAGAACTGGAAGAACATCTAAAACGCGTAAAAGAGAAACATCAGTTTTTTTAAACAGTTTTACGACGCTGGCAAATACTTGCAAAATTCATCTGCCGAGAAATGCTCATGCCAGTAATCCCCTGGAGGACCATTTGTCATAAGAAGCTTATATTTTACGTTAATTCCCTGGAAAAAATGTGTTGTTTGTAAATTCAATAATGTGTAGTATCGGGAATATTTTAAGAACACTATTAGGTACAGTAATTTCTTAGTTTACATTTAAGAATAGTTAGCATAGTCATAGGATTTAAGTAAGAAAAAGAGGGAATGTAGCAGGTGGGCCGTCCGTTAGGGATGCATTAGGGAAGTGTCATAACGGAAACAGTAGTAAATAGTAATGATTTTAGGTCACTCTTTAATGCAGTGGTCGTGCTCCCTTTTGACGAATATTTTGTTACAAATTTTGCATTTAGCACTTGCATCATTAATATCAACAAAATAATCCAAAATAGAACATCATTTTGGCTTCAAAATTGCACTTTTAACTTAGAATTTACACCACTGAGCAAGCACTTTTCGAAATTAAATTATTAGAACTGACTAAAAGGAACTTGAAAGTCCTGGACGTTTTTAGGTTAAAGTAGGAAACTAATAAGAGAATAAAATTTGGAAAATGTCAACATACGAAATATTAGGACATAAATTTAGGTCCTAAACTATAATAAATTTATTTGCACAGGGACAATATTATTATTAACGAAAATTTGCCGGCTATAACGCTGTATTAACGTTAATACTTCATAAACATAAACGGTTGACAATATTCGTTAACTATGTTGCAGAGGAGTCTCTGAAAGCTGACGCAGATACCTGCACAACATGCAAATTTGCAACGAGCAATTCTATTTAAATTGTGTTTTGAAAACGGCCACGTTCAATCAACAAATTAAAGTAGTAATGTTTTATGACTTGTTTTATTGTTTCGATATATTAATTTTCCGATTTATAAAAATGCAGAACTAGATGCAGAAGCGGATGTGAATATGTATGCGGAACTTCCGCAATTATGGAAACGAAAGGAGAGGTTTATTGCAACACTACCGTCGGTTCCTTGGTTGTAGGAGAGGGTGAGAAAAGAACGGGTCCTTTCCGGCGAGGAAGAGCAGAGTCGGTGAACAAGTCGGAATAGAAGTAGTTTCTTTTTGTAAATTTGTGTACATATTCTTTTATTAATTAAACTTTTATATACATTGATCCCCGTTTTGCATTCGTTTTATAGAAATCCCACAATGATTACAATTAATTATTTCTTTCTTTATAACGTTTCAATTTGGGCAAATTGCAAATTCATGTATGTAAGGCCTTTTTTCTAAAGCGGGGCAATCTCTTCATAAACCTATAAAGACCTTAGCTAGGTCTACGTAAGAAATTTGATGTCTAAATTCATGGAGATTGGATTCGCCGCTAAAAAAAACATGTTACTAACGAGGATAGAGAGGTTGTAATTATGAGATACGTTGAACTAGATTCAGCACTAAGTACCGGAAAATTGGAATTTACTCCAGGAATTGCACGCACAAATTTTTAGAGGGTCATACAATAACATCGATTCATCTTGTACAAGAGATTAACGAAGATGATTCAGCAATATTCTGAAGAGATAAGTGAAAGAATTGTGAACAATCTCAATTTTTTACACCCACCATGATTCTCCGATGAAATCATAATGGTTACGTTAAAAAACATAATCATAGACATTGGAGTGATCTCAGTTATGAGAGATCAGTGTTTGCAGTATCCAGGAAAGGTTAAATCCGTGGGCCAGAATTTTAGGAAAATCCATTTTTGCTACCTCATAATTTGACAGATGAATTTTATCTCAATTTGCCTGAAGATGTAATCTACATTGGCATTGTAGAGATAATTAAAAATGACGATCACATTGCAGATAATGATGGATTTTTTCATCGGGATAGTGCGCCGCTCCTAAACGTGACTTTTCAAATTTTCATTTTCCCGAACAGTGGATTTGTAAAAGGGGATCTATTGAAAGCCTCCAAGGTCTCAGATTTAACACCTTGGATCTCTTTAGAAGATATACGCCAGTGAATCCCTGATATACTGCAAAATGTTCGAGAGAATATTGGAGAAAGATTTTATTACGATATGGAAATGAATGACTTGCAATTTGAACATTTAACCAATTAAAAGTTGAACGAGAACCTTTTTATTTAATTTCTTCTTCCAAAAGGATTTCCACGTCAATAGGATCATAAATAACTGCAATCTTGTTTGGCACTATTTAATACTCGCCTATAATGTCATTTGTTATAAAATAGAACTATTGATACTACCTCAAGGAGTCAGTGGTGAATACTCAGATTTAGAAGGGTAATACGTTCTCAACGATATACTGTTTTTTATGTTCAGTATCAGTGCAGTGAGAGAGTAGCTGGAAAGCGAAAAATGCCCAGCAATAAACCCGCAACCGTTAAGTTATCAAAAAAAAGCAAATCTTCCTCGATCTCTTTGGCAACACCTTGTCTGAACTGGACGATGACGTGGTGCTGGTTTATGAAGATCGCCTGTCACTATCCGGTGTGAAGGAGAAGTTCGGAAAACCCATAAACCCGTGGAAACCGCTTGGTCTGCCCAGCATAGGGCAAATTATTACTTTAAAACAGATACCGCCGTACCCCGACGCGAGCGAATTTCACATCAAAATTCCGCCCAGGAAGGGGTCTATAAAGGAAAACTTGGTCCAGGAACGTCATTTCACCAATTAAACGGGAAAGGAGCACAGTCCTTTAGTCCTTTGAACCTCCAACATCGTCGCTGTCAAAATTCCGACCAGGAAGAAGTCTATAAAGGAAAACTTGGTCTAGGAACGTCTTCCCAGCAATTATACGGGAAAGGGGCACCATCCTTTGAAACTCCAGCGTCGTCGCCGTCATGTCATTTTCGTACAGACAATTAAAACACCTTTAAAATGATTCTTAAGCTAAGATTCTTGAAGAGGTTGCCACCTCCTTTAAAGGGATGATATTGCATCCATGAATTTACAATAGAAAGCAAAATCGACCTGTTCCAGGTATTTTCGAAAAAAAAAAGTTGTGATTGAAAATTGTTAATGTGTTCCCCCTGTATGTATCAACGACTTACTTTATTTCCTCCACAATTACTAATTGCTATAAACCACCATCTTTCTCTAGAGCTTCTAAATCTTCTTGAATTTTGGCAAATAATTCTTCTATCGTGTCTTTGTTGTTTCGGCGTTGTATTTTTGATAATTGATCTCTTTTTTCTTGGAGAACTCTCAATTGTCGTATAGACCTTTAAAAAAACAAAAATGTTTTCCATTTTTTGCAAAACAATAATCAATATTTACAAAATCACCCACCTCTATCGGCCCAGTGTCATTCTTATCATCACTTGGGAAAATATTTTCGACATCATCTTGAAAGTTATGATACATCGATTCATCATTATAATCGTACAACTCTGGCGTGTTACTGTCGTTAAAGTTATCCCAAATTTCTGTGCTAAAGTCAGTTGTACTGTGGAGATACATTGGTTTGCTCGTTGTTGTCCTAGTGGTGGTAGTTGTAAATTTAGGAGTTGGAAAATTAGTGGTAGAAGTTGGAGTCAATGTAGAAGATGTTGTCTTTTTAACGGAAATAGGTTCAGTATGTTTTTTAGTTGGAAACTGTGTGGTTGTAGAGGAAGTGGTTACAGGGGGTTTCCATACTTCTACTGCAACACAGCCGGAGAATTCTTGATGAAAAATTGTTTTCACTGTCAAATTTACTACTTGATTTTGTCCGATTTTAAGGACCGATTCTTTTTCAGGGCATGTCTGAAATGTATATACAAGTACTTACTACTAGGTTATCCCATAATGAAAGAAGAGTTCGATGTAGCATTAAAAAACTTAAAGATTAATAAGGTACCAGGTATAGATGGGATACAGGGGGAAATTAGAGATCGTATGTTTAAGCTAGTTAGCCGCATTTACGAGACGGGGAATGTCCCGGGGGATTATAAACGGAACGTGGTAGTAACCATAACTAAAAAGAGAGGCGCATATAGGTGCGATACATTCAGAACAATTAGCTTAACTTCTCATGCGTCAATAAACAGAACTAGAATTGTACAGAGAAGGATAGAAAAAAGGGCGGAAGAACTAATAGGGGAAAATCAATTTGAGTTTAGAAGAAATAGAGGAACGCGGAAGGCTATTCTAGCTTCACGGTTAAAAATAGAGAAAACGATAAAAAAAGGAAAGAGTGCGTACATAGGATTTGTAGATTTAGAAAAAGCTTTTCACAATGTTAAATGGGACAAGATGTTAAATCTAATTAAAAATGTAGGGATAAGTTACAAAGATAGAAGAGTGATACTTAGTTTGTATAAAGAGCAACAGGCAGTTATAGAGATGGGGATGCAACGTGGAGAAGTAAATATGAGGAAGGGAGTCAGACAGGGATGTACACTGTCACCGCTACTGTTTAATCTATACATCGAAGACGCGATCAACATTATTATTAAAGACAGTACAACCGTAGGGATAGATATACAGGGGCAAAAGATTAGTATGCTTAGATTTGTAGATAATATAGCAGTATGAGAATCTGACAAGGATGAGTTAGAGATAGCTGTAAATAAAATGGAAGCGCTATTGACAAAACACTATTGTATGAAAATAAATAAAAGTAAAATAAAAATATTGATATGCAAGGGAAGAAAAAGGAGGAAAAGAGCGAATATAAACATAGGAGACGAAAGATTAGAAGAAGTGACTGATTTTAGGTATTTAGGAAGTCAGATAAGTTAGGACGGAAGGAGATATTAGAAAGAATAGGAGAACGGAGGACTATATGGAAGTCAATAAAAAATAAGCAAGATGGGTTGGTAGGACAGCTTCTCAGGCGTGAAGGTCTAGTCAGAGATACATTAGATTACTGTTCGCAAATAGTTAAGGATGTGGGATGTTCTAGTTTTAGGGAAATGCGAAGATTAGCTGATGATAGGAAGGAGTGGAAGTGCGTGTCCAACTAGTCTTAGGACTGACGACTTTATGATGATGAATAAGATATATATAAGTATCTATCAATGGTATTTAGATTTCATTAAAGAAATAGCAATACAATAATAAATAAAGAAGTCAACAGAGTCGTCTTTGGCACATACTGAATTTCCATGGAAGTTAAAAAATAACATGTACACATAAGCCCGTTTATGACCATTTAATCAATATGCAAGAGCTATTAACAGAAACGAAAAATGCAATCTTTTAAAAAGATTGACTAAATGCAGATTGAAAGCCTTTTGTATATGTGCACCTCCTTATAAGTGTGTGTATTACATGCTCTATTGAATATCGAATTACTCCTTGTTTTGTTACCTTTCCGGATTTATATACCGAAGGCCATTGATCATCTGTATCATAATACAATAATAAATTCGGATATCCTTGTTCTTCATTAAACTCTATTCGATACTCGAACTGTCCCTCTTCAGACAGAAAGCAGAACCTCGCCAAAAAGGCCCAATCCTACAACCATTAAAGATATTAAATACATTATTAGTCCAGGTGTGACAACAGAAAAATATTAATTTCATGGACTTTCTCAATGTGATAATTATGAGAAAAATCGTAGAGTTTGTATGTATCTATCGTAGCATATAGGTGAACATGCGGAAACCATCCAAAAATGGACATATTTCACGGTTTCTATTATTTTTTTTTGCAAAAAATTGTTGATCGATTTTAATTATTCAAGGCTCATTATATTCCTCTTTGTAAGAGCTGTAACGAGTTTTAGGTTTTTCAATTCTCACAGCTGTTTTCGGCACTTTTATAAATTTCTTTCACCAGTTCGCCACGAACTGATTTTGTTCATAACATAAATACAAATTCTACGATTGTTTTCCTTATTATCACGCGGAGAAAGCGTGAAGTAAAATCTTTCCAAGAAATAAACTGGATTATTATAAAAGTACTTAAGGCAAATTGTGAACCATGTTTATTTAAAGTTATTACCTGCTTCACTGAAAACAGTCTTAAACTAACTGAACTTCCAAAATATTTTGCAATAACCCTCAAAAGCTTTAATGTACACTACTGTATTATTTATATGAATAGAACTTGGAAGGTATTTGTACGAAATTCCCTACACTACGTGGTTTTTTAGAATAGAGTATTCTTATGCTTGATTCTCAATTCTCCACTAGTCTACACTCATTGGTGTTAAGCAAAATTGGTCATTTTTGCAAGACTAAGACTAAGATCGAATGAGATTAACATCAGGACCGAATATGTAAGACCAAGATCAAATGCGAAAGACTAAACGAAAAATTATTACTTCCGATGGAACAATTTTTTGTTGCTGTTGTTACATCCTCACCGGGAATCGAACCCGGGACCTTTGATTTTATGGTGAGGCTGTGACAGCAGCAACAAATTTGTTTCCTTATTAATTTGAGGTAGTTTGCAGTGGCAAAAAATTAAAAATGAATTTTCACATTAATTTGATATCAACCCCTATTAAATGTCAAAATGGTTTGTATAATTTGAATCAATTGTAATATATTCTTTCCTTGGAACAAACCAGTTTTAGTATTTGAGACTTTCATTTTGCTTTACTAGATTTTAACATATAGAAAAAATGAAAATTTACTGCTGTCTGAAAACAGGGATCTACAAGAATGTCCTCGTAGTAAGTGTTCTTTGTTCCCTTGTCTGGATAATACATGGTAGAAATACAGAGAAAAATTATTTTTTTTCGATATTTTTAATTTCTTTCAAGTATCATGTCTATTTTGTTCGGTAAAATGTCAATTTATGTATTCAAGGAAAGGTAGGTTTTCGAGTTTTTACAACTCTCACAACTATCGACACCATTTTCTTTAAAAGTCATGAAAAGCTCGCATATATGACAGAAAATTTCAGCATTTAAGGCAATTTTTGTGCTGGAAACTAGAAAAAATTGTACTTAGAAGAACTACAGTAGATTGTACTGTATTTTCGTCGTTATATCCGGAAGTCGTTACACGCAAAGATAAAGAGATACAGACACGCATAAGTCTGCATCTAGGGGTCATACTTATTCTTATTAAAAAGTTTACTAAACTCAGTTGCTACTCAGAATATCACTTTGTAACTGAACCATTTTAACATACCTACCTGGCTAACATCTATGAACAAACGGTAAAGGTCACTACACTTGCTGACCATCTGTGTGGACGTAAACAAATGATAAGAAAGGTCTTTGTGTCTTTCGCAGTCGATTCCGGTCGCTATATTTGCATGGGATTATTAGGGATTTGTTACAAATGATTCTTTAAAAACAGTCGCTACACCCGAACTCGGCGTTACATCCGAAGTCACTATAGCCACATGAATTTGTACTAAAGTATACTTTAAATTCAAGGGACTTAGGTTTGATGTCGTTATAGCAAAATGGTCGCTATAACCAAGTTCGTTATAAATGAAATCCACTGTATTACAAAGAAAAAACATCTAATCATAATAAATCACGTAATGTACAATTAAAAACTAATACATGAGGGAATAAGGTGATATTTTTATTACTTTATGTAACACATTTGCGTTAAAATGTATTAACTTATGAGTTATTAGCTTTCAAATAGAAGTTTATAGATACACTTACGTCTTTTGTATTTATTTCTCCTTCAACGTACTTGCCTCTCACTTTCGTCAAATAAAAGATGTTAAAAATTACGAAACACGTTAAAAAATTATACATAATTCATCTGAACATTCTCATTTTTTGTTTAGCATTAGAAAAAAACAACACATTTCTATCACAGTTCCTTTATGTGCTGTTTTGTATGGGGTAGATATTTGATCGATAGGGGGTGCCATGGTTATGGTGTGTCTTTCACAACAAACGCAGATGATGGTTATTTTTAATGATACCTGGGATGGTAGGTACTAATCGCAATTCGGTTTTGTCGCTTTTATAATTTTATAATTTATCTGTTTATTATGCGTTTCTAAAGTAGAATATATAAGGTATTATTTTGTAAATAAAAAGGCTACTGTAAATATTACTCTCAATCTTCGGCATATCTTTCATGCATTTGATGAGCGGCAAGGAAATAATGACATTAATAGGAGGGGAAAATACTACCCTCACCAAATCACAAATACTAAACCAATGAAATTTTAATTCCTGGTTAACGGACATTTAAACGAGCCTAGTATAATGTTTATAAATACTAAAAGTCTAAAAAGTGACGAAATCGTACTAGTACGTTATCGTCAATCAAAAACTCAACACATATATCATTGAAGCGACAAAAATTGTGACAATTCGGCCTTACTGTGGTGTGTTCCGAAATATAATCCAGCATCCTGGCCAGTAATGATGACGTCATGAATCGACGCCATACTGTTGATTCGTTCCCAAATATACTGGCCAGTGCGTTGTGGTCAAATTGACGCCATATTGAGAATAGTGTTTGTGCTCGATTACAACAATTTTGCCCCGAAAGGTATTAATGTTTCTTACAATAAAAAATTCCTCAAAGTCTGATGCACACACGCCTGTTGGATATACTACTACATCACACTTGTCTCACTAGTACAATATGGTGGCACACCAGTACAATATGGCGTCGATTCATGACGTTATCAGCACTGGGTTATATTTCGGAACACACCCCCGATGTATTCTTGTTCCCGAGAAAAAGTAAACACAAAAATAACAAATCATTCAATATAGTAATTAATAAATAATACAAATTAGGACAAACGACCTATCCCAATACAATTTTAATTACCGATTTTCATTAGATAAGTTTTTTGTTTGTTATACTTATGAAAATATTATGGTTGATGTTGAAAAACGTTTAAACAAAAAAATCATTTAGCCCAAAAAAACGAACACTTTTTTTAGTTATTCGCAAATATTTAAACAAATTTAAAGTAACCTGTAAACAAAAAGAATTTATTTGTGTGCAATATAATATTTCAATCTGCTTTTATCCTGTGCCCTTTATTTGTCTATAGAGTTTAAGTTTTATGGGTTTCTACACCTCCCCCCACCGGGGATGCTTTCCTATCTCCTTTTACTCTCTGTCGTACCCGCAATCATCCCAGCAAACCAATCCGACTTATGCATATCATTTTCCCGATTTTTTGCTGTTGCAAAAATTGAAAATATCAAAAATACTCGTAAAAAGATTATGGTATGTAACCATTGTGCACGGGTCGAATTTTTACACGTGGTTGGGTTCTTAATAGTTAATTAAACTTGATGAGGTTTAAGTTAAGCAACAAATTTTCATAATGTATTATCTAGGTACGCAATAGACCTGTAAATATGTAATTCCTAGCGAAATTAATTATTACGCTATATCAAAAAATAAATTTTACTACTGTAATAAATTTCCATAATTTATTAAGAAGAACATAAAAAGTTACACATTTTTTTTTTATTAAAACATCCGTCAAGACATTTATGGGAATCATCATGAATTTATGTTGATTAATTCTCCCACACTTACCTATAACAATAAAGAAAACGAAAATAATTTGTTTATTGCGTTCAAAAGGCAGTTAAAGTCGCAAATTAAAAAAATTTGCGCCTAAAAAGTTCACCGTGTTATTTAATGGTCACGGTATTTGTTCTACCAAAACTGCAAACACAGAACATATAAAGATATTTGCCTAAATAATCGATTAAAAGATATCTGTCTGCTGTTAGGCTCAACTAGGACTGGGCGATTATTAAATTTAACAATCAATAACAGATTGTAAGAAAATAATTGATTTGATAAGGTTTAAGAGAAGAAGCATAGAATTTTATAACGTTGCAGATGCAATTCTTTATCTACGTAAGAATTTTACAAACCAATTATTCTTATTCTTTTCGCTTTTCTGTTATTTTCCTCATTCTCCGTAATATTTCTCTCATTCCTTTTAGATGTACCATTTCCTATTATTTCACATCTATCAGAAATGTGTTCCAGGGTCTCTGGCTCCAGTTTCCACAGTCTGCATATTTTCTTCTCTTTTTCTTCATTTTTGTTCTTCCCAGCATCTTGTCGTCTTATTCTCACTTTCCAGTCTAAATGTTGCTGTTAAAACTTATTCGCTTTTACTCTTTGCTCTTTCATCTTTCAAATAATTTGGGGTTTCCTCTCTTATTTTCATATTTTCTTGTATTCCTGTACGAATTTTAAGTTTCTCATTTTTTCTCCTTTTGTTTATCAATGTCTTTAGTTAATTTTCATAGCTCTTTTCGTACACTTTTGTCTTTTTATAATTTCCATTTGTAGTGCTTGATATCCCATCCCCTTTCTATTAAAATTTTTTGTTTCTTTTTTCCATCTTCGGCGTGTGTGATTTTCTTTTCTTTGGTTTGAATAATTTTTTACTTCTTCTTCTAAAGATTTTATTTTTTTGCTTCTTCCTTGAGTAGGTATTTCGGTGAATTTATATATATATCTTACGTATTCCATATCCACATTTCCATAATACGCTCTCTACCAATATCTCCAAAAGGAACATTCATTTTTTCCAACTCTCTGTTAGATTTTTTTCTCCTATTCCCCAAGCCTTTCCCGTTACTTTTATTGCTTTCTTCCTCAGTCCATTAATTTTTTGCAGTAAGAATCCTAGATAGTTGAACCCTGAACTTCGTCGATTATTGTTCGTTCCCACTGGAATTCTAATTTCCTCTTTCTTTCTCTTGACTTTTTTCTTTCTGAAATTTTTCCTGAGCCAAGCGAGAGTAATCCGGTTCGCTGAATAATGATGTTTTTTGATTTAATTGATGAAAATACAAAATATTTTTACAGCTAATATGACTAGGGTACTAAGTACTAAATAAATCGAAGATTTACAGTAATGACGCAACAGCAACGGTGAAATATCGATTTTAAGGGCAATGGACATTCGGTTCTATATAAGCGAAGGTTTAGACAGTTCACTGTATACGACGGTTTAATATAATTGCTATGCTGCTGACATTATATGCGGAGTTTTCGTAGTTGTTCAGATTGTCTGTTGTTCACATCGTCGGGAGTAGATTGTGTCACTTAATTGAAAGTCCGAAGTATCAAGAAATGCACTTGCTATTGCAAATTAAGATGATAGAATTTTATACTTTTATTTATGTAAAAAAATTGTTTACGAAATCATGACTGAGCTCAATTCTAATCTGAAACTAAATTAATTTAAATTTTTTAATGGAATATAGTATCTGCCGTTGAGTAAAATGTATTTGGATTTAATCTGTATTGAATTTAAATCGTGCTTAATATGACCTACTAAAAGTTTAATAATTATAATTAATGTCGGATATAAAGTAATTATAGCGAGTTATATTTTAACAAACGCATAGGGGTATAGCTAGGTACGTACCTACATAATAAAAATGCTTTAAATAATTAATTTTGCAAAAGCAAGTAAATTACTCAATATTGGACAGTATTTAAGCAACAAAAGTTATGAGTGATTTTAGAATAAAAAAGAAATACAAGAACTTAAAAAAAGAAGAAAATTATTCTAATGCTAATTTGTCTTTAGAGATAGGCTATCTGAGATCTATCTATCTGTCTATCAAAAATGAACCCTTTTCCAATTTTAATTTGAATATCATATTCAGTTTGATATAATTTCATAATATTTCTCACTAAGAAAGGAAGAATATGTATTTTGGACATCACCATCATAAGGTCGTCAGTCCTAAGAGTGGTTGGACACGCACCTCCACTCCTTCCAGTCCTGAGCTAATCTTCGCATTTCCTTAAAACTCGAATATCTCACATCCTTAACTATTTGCGAACAGTCCACCGATCCTGTATGTATTTTTATAGTCGCCACTATACGAGGGTGGATTGATAAGTTTCCGGCCTAACCAAGAGATGACGCCACTAGGCCTACCTTGAGGTGACATTCTATAGTACCATCCTTGGATAGCTTGTAGCTATAGTTTCAGCCCGATCTCCTTGCTAGTGTAGGTTTGACAGCACGCTGAACAAGACGCCTCTGTGGTTTTCGTAAAAATGGAAAAGCAGGAAAATCGTGCTGTCATCAAATACTTTTATTTGAAGGGGTTAACGCCGAAGGAAATTAAAAAAGAGATGGACTCAACACTGGGGACATCCTCCCCGTCATATTCAACCGTTAAGCAGTGGGTTTCCGAGTTTAAAAAGGGTCGTGTGAGCACCTCTGATGGGCCTCGCTCAGGACGCCCCGTTGAGGTCACAACTCCAGATATGATCGAAAAAATTCATCAAATAGTGCTGGGAGACCGCAGATTGAAAGTGCGTGAGATAGCTGAAACCTGTAAGATGTCATATGAACGTGTGCAACATATTTTGCACCAACATTTGCATATGGAAAAGCTCTGTGCAAGATGGGTGCCGCGTTTGCTAACAGTCGACCAAAAATTGATTCGAAAAAACATTTCTACCGCAAATTTGTCATTGTATAAGCGTAATCCAAGCGAATTTTTGCGTCGATTCGTAACCGTTGACGAAACGTGGGTCCACCACTACACTCCTGAAACCAAAGAACAGTCTAAACAGTGGATTGGACCAGGGGAACCAACTCCAAAGAAGGCAAAAACAATTTTTTCGGCGAACAAGGTTATGGCTACTGTTTTTTGGGATGCAAGAGGTATTATATACATTGATTACCTTGCAAAGGGTAATACTATCACTGGTCAATACTACGCAGACTTATTGCAACGTTTGAGCCACGAGGTGAAAATTAAACGACCTCATCTGGCGAAGAAAAAAATCTTGTTTCATCACGATAACGCACCAGCGCACACGTCAATCGTTGCGACGGC